AAATCTCGAGAGTAGGATTATAGGGTTCTATGGGAAATAGGCTTCTATTCATAATCAAAACATATTTTCTTCAATTTCTTACATATTATTAAAGTAGTAAGAATCAAAAATGTATGTAATATAAAAAAAAAATATTTCAGATAATGTTAATGAATATCTAAAGCTTGCCGCTAGTGCTGATAGACAGCAATTGCAACGAATAAAGGTAATAAGAAAGAAAGCTTCAATTAGTAAGAATAAAATTTATTGTAACTAAAAAAAAATTTTCGTGCATATTTTTAGGCTGTTTTTGAAAAGAAAAATCAAAAGAGCGCACATAATATTTCTCAGCTACAAAAAAAACTAGATAATTATACCAAACGCGCGAAAGATCTACAAAATCATCAGTATCAAAATAAAAGCCAACATCGACAACCGCGTGAAGTACTTCGAGACGTGGGACAAGGATTAAGGTAATCTAAAGAGTTTTGAAGATTATTAATATAGTTTAAAGAAAATGTATCTCAAAAACGGTTTTCTTTTGTTAGAAATGTGGGTGGCAATATACGCGATGGTATTACTGGTTTCTCAGGATCTGTTATGTCTAAGCCACGTGAATTTGCGCATTTAATCAAAAATAAATTTGGCAGTGCGGACAATATCAATCAAATGTCGGGTATGTCATTATCGCTACTAATATTAATGGTAATAAATAATTCATAGATATTCTTTTCATATATTTATGTAGAAACTGAAATTAATAACATCAACATGCCCGTAAATTCTGAGGTAATAGGTACTTCCACGCCAAATAATGCTGTTCCAGCCACATCTACAGGTTCCGGTAATACCGCCGGAAGTGGAAAATTTAATAGTGAAAATGGCAGCGAATGCAGTAGCGTAACAAGTGAGAGTATACCAGCCGGGTAAATAAATTAAATTTTAACAGAAATCCTTAATTGTATATAACATATATTTGTAATTAACTATTGATAGCTCTGGAAAAAGTCAATCAGGCGCTAGCCAATACCACATTGTTTTAAAATCACTACTCACAGAATTAGCTGAGCGGAAAGATGAGAATGAAAAACTGAAAGAACGTGTAGAACGTTTAGAAGTAAGTTAATTAATTATTATTATCAAATAGTTAAGAACATGTTACGAGAACTATGGCAAAAATAATTTAAAAGTTAGTTTGGTCAGAAAGACAAAAGTGGCAACAATAACTTAATAGTTATCTTGATCAGTAAGATAACTATTAATTATCACTTTTCATAAATATATTGGTTTTAATCGATTATCAAAAAATTTTAAAAGCCATATTTTAAGAAAAACAAATATAAGTTTCCTTCTATATTAGGATTTAGTCCAATAATATTAATAATATTAAATTAATAATAGTAATCGCTTTTTAAAGATCACAAATATTGTAAAAATTCATACGAATATTTAATTAACCATTTTTTAATCATTTATGTTTTTCATTCATTAATTATATCAAATAATATATATTTTAGACCGCGCAAAAGGATTTTAATAATTTAACCGCCACCCTTGAATCGGTGCGTTACCGTTCAGATGATCTTGTGGATCAGATTAACGACTTGACAGAATTACATCAGGTACGACAATTACACATATGATAAAGTAATATATATTTATATATTTTAAATAAAACACAAAGTAATTCTTTAAAATTTAAATAACTTTTCCATATTTAATAATTAATAAGTAATTATAATAATAATATAATAATTAATATATTTAATAATAATATTAAAAACTTAAGTGTAAAAACTTATTGTTTAAGTAGCGTTAATTTTTAACTAAATTAAACAAGAATTATTATGCGAATTATTTAAGTGAGAAGCAGATTTGTGTCATATAAATGATCGAACTACGTTTTTAAGTTTTACTTTTTTTCTAAATACATATACAAACCCGTTTAAAAAGTACTTCGATTAAACCGAACCTAATCAGAAGTCACTCGTCACTTACGACGACCAAGTACCGTTCAACAGCTCCAAAAGGGACTCCATATGCAGGTCCCGGCGGGTTACAAAAAGTACGCACTTAATTCGTTTATAGCGACCCATGAGTTACAACAAACTATATTCACATATAAAAACCTTTTTATTATTATAATACTTATCTACTTACTAACTATCTAGCTATCTACTTATAAACTTCGAATAGCCTGTTAAAAATTGAAAAAATAAAGTAATTTTTTTAAAAAAATAATGTGATTGTTACGATTCCTGTGATGGTTCTAAGTTTTTCTTTTGATAGGTTCATACAATCATGGTATGTCTTATTGTTATAAATACTAATAAGTGATTTGGATTGTGTTAATCCTGGTATATTATCCTAATAATGGTTTTTATTCTGGTTCTCCTTTATAAAAGAAAGAAGCGTAATATGTGCTAGTCCACAAAAAGGTTTCGGCCCCATCATCGGTTGGGCTACAATAAGTTATTGCTTTACATATATAAGTTTAACTTAATTACAAGATATATATTTTAATGTTCGAATTAAGCGAATAGTACTATATATATAATTTAAATCAAATATTTTACTTATATTGTATTTTATAAACTAACTGTTTCTCTAATTGTACAGAATGAAATTGAAAACCTCAAACAAACAATAGCTGATATGGAAGAAAAAGTTCAATATCAAAGTGATGAAAGACTTAGGGACGTAAATGAGGTGCTTGAAAATTGCCAAACAAGGGTAAGTTAGTGTTTTTTTTTAAATACTTTTAAAAACTCACTTATTACGTCTATATTTGCCTCTAGATATCTAAAATGGAACATTTATCTCAACAACAATATGTGACAGTAGAAGGAATCGATAATTCTAACGCACGTGCGCTTGTGGTTAAACTTATTAATGTTGTGCTGACAATTCTACAGGTTGTTCTGCTTTTAGTAGCAACTGCTGCCGGTATAATAATGCCATTTTTAAAAACCAGGTAGGACATTTTCTTTTCATTTGCTATGTTTTTTCATATTGAATATATAAGTAATCAAAGTAAAAATTCTATTCTATTGACAGGGTGCGTGTTTTAACGACATTCTTAACTATTTTTATTATTATTTTTGTGATACGACAATGGCCTGATGTGCAAGATATTGGTGCTGGGCTAGTACGACATTTGAAGGAGTCTTTGGTTGTTAAATAGGATATGTAAAACTTTTTACACAAACACACATCCATCATGCACATATAACATAATTCACATAGCCACACATCCAACAAATAAACATGCTCATTATTAGGCTTTATTCGTTATAAAATAAAAAATATATAATTAAATTAAATTGCTTTAGCTAAAGAAATTAATAGTGCAAAATAAAAACAAAATTATTAAGTGATTTATTTGTAAATAATTTTTGTACAAATATTGCACAGAAAAAATTACCACAATAATGTAATGGAATTAGTAAAATTTTACATTCGAAACTCATCACATTTATTTTTTAATTGTAATTATATTTCATTTGATTATATTAAATAAATTGGTTTATTTTGTAATAAAAACGTTACTGTAAAGTATGTATTTATGTGCTCATTTCTTATAAGTAATATGCATATTTAATAAAAAAATAATTTGTTATAGGCAAAAAGAAATTATTAAATAACAGAAATAATTAAGAATTATGTAATTTGTTACTCATAATAGGGTTTTTTTTATTAATATAATATAATATACGGCTTATATATACAAATTTATATAATATACGTAAATTAGGTTAAAAATAATAAAATGAATATTGCATGAGTAGTCGCCTCATTGATTAATTATTGAATTTAAATAAACTGTAATTTTTACAAAATAAAAGTAAACCTGGAATTTTTTAATGAAATTATTGGCAAATATTTGAGGAACAAAATATCAGTGAAAATAGAAACGTGACATTATTTGGGAAAATCGTGAAATAATTTAAATAAAAATTAATTAATTAATAAATTGAACTTAAGTTAATTAAGTAATTATGTTAAAATTGAACATATCCTTATTACAGTGAATACTGAATTTTTAATAGATATTTTTGTTTCAATGACAAAAAGATCCTCAGATTTACTAAAGTAATTAGACCAGATAATGAAAAATATCAAAGGTCCAGGTTTTAATTATTATTTTATTTTTTTTTTTTTTTTTTGTATATTTTTAAATTTCACCTTTTAATTTAATTTAAATTTTTTGATTATTAAAATTCTACTAATAGTTCAGATTTTTCTAGAAAATGGTTTTAGTTAAATTAAATCAAATTAAAAAATAAAGGGGAATTAAGGAAATTTACTCAAGTGAATTTTTAAACTGGCTAAATATCAGTCATTGGTTTTAAGACTGATCTATTGGTTTTTAGACCGAAGCTGTCAGGATTTGAACTCTGCCAAATGTTAACTGCGTGATAAAAAAAACATACAACGTACATAGAATGAACAGCTGCATAAATGAATTTAATAACTGTGTTTTTAATGCAAACACTAAATACTAAAGATTTGCTATGATATAAACAAAACTAACAAAAATATAATAAAATGGCATTTACTAAAACAAAAATATTTATAGTTAAGCATAAATATTGTCGTAGAATGCCTCCGCATGAACATTTCCAGTGATAAAAAACCGTTCATACATGTAGTCAGCTGAGCTCAACTTAACTCAGTAGCGTTAGATGAAATTTTTAAACAGGTTAGCCGGCTATAACCTCTATTAATAGGTACCTCTGTTATATTACAATTTGTAACATGTTCTAAGAGGTTTATTTACATATAAATGGACAATTCAGTGCATATTGTATTTAATAAAGTAGTCAACTAGTTTAAAATATTTTCAAAGCCATATTTAAATTTTTTCAATAATGTTACCAGAGCACTCAATAATAATGCCTCTTATTTTATAAAGATATTAAATTTTACAACAGTTTGGTTTATGAAATCAACAGAATTTTTATAATAATATTATAACTCTTGTTTGATTATAATATAAGTTTTATAAACATATTTTTTTATTTCAATGATGTTCGAAAAGACAAATATATATATATATTAGAATTGTAATTCGGTAGGTATAAGCCCAGAAGTGGCATGTTATGAATGCTGAAAAACATTCCTAATATACTTCGAAACAACTCTTTAATTTGGAAATCATTTCGGTTATGTTCCGAAATGAGCAAATTAAATGTTACTAAAAAAGAATAAATTGAGGTGTGACACTCCAATTGAGTTGTTCCAAATGAAGAAGTCGATATTGAACCAGAATGGCTAGCATCAACAACCAAACCTCAATGCAAAAAATAAAACAATTTTGATATAGGTTTCGTCCACGCAGGCTATAATGTCAAGAAATTGATATATATCAAAAAAATATTGCTCAAGCCATAATAATAAAAATAATATAATAAAAGCAAAATATATTATTGAAAGTTTTAAATAGAAAGAATCTATTTCTGATTTTTACAATAAAGATAGTAAAGTAATAATAAATTTTTAATAAAGTATAATAACAATGTATTTTAAATTTTATTGTATTTATATACGAATACGTTTCTATAGTTGAAAAAAATATTAAAAACTTAAATTCATTACAAAGTATTAGTCGACAATAATTACAATTAAATCACTGTTAATTAAATGTTAGCAGATTTATTACATTTTTTGTGTTATTGATTTATTTATTTTATGTTAAAATATTTTTTATACACATAAATTAGATGTTGGACTTACACATTTATTTTGTAAGTTAAATATTAAAATCTACAAATAAACATATTATGAACTATAAACACTATATTTTTTCTAAATTGTTCTTTAGTTTTTGGCTTCAGTAGTTATAATATTTGTAAATCATATGTCTACATTTATAGTATTTACACACATATTATTTTCAGAAAGAAACAATCCTAATATTTTACACTAAAATGGAAAAACTCAACTGCGTAGTCTTATAATAGTAAACCGTTAATATATAAATATTATTTTATTTTATAACTATTGTATTTTATGACAAAAATATTTTTCGTATTTCATTAAACTTATAATTATAAATATTAAAAAAAAAATTTTAATATTGGGAATTCATATCTTAAGGTATGACATTTTGCATTTTGAGAGTTACGTAGATTTATTTTTTATTTTTATAAAAATTATATATATTTTAAAAATTTTAATAAAAAATAATAATATTATTTAAAAAATATATCTATAAATCAATATATAAAATAAGAGAAATCAATCAAGAAAAAAAATTAATTTACAACATAGGAATTTCACGTATGCTTTTTATAACGTTTACTATATAACACTAAACGGTAATAACTATTAACATTTAAGCCAATTATAAATAAATCACATTTCATATATATATATAACTTTAAAAAATAATCATTGACAAATTTTAAAAATTTACTAATGATATTTTCATCGTAGACTAAATACTTTCGATTCAATTCTAAAGCGTATTTAAAAAAATTAAAACAACGTAAATACGCTATATCATAAATACAAATTATGGTGATAAAGATTTCTTTTTTTTTTTGTCATATAATACAAAAAAAAGTAAACGTTATAACTGTTAAATAAAAAAAAAACAATTTTTTTCTATTTAATTTAATCATCCACTCCACTTATATATATTGCCTTAAATAAAAAACTGACGATCAGTATTTGCTGTGGCGTTACGAGGTTGATATGTTGGACCTCTTAATGTATCACTGTGATTGGCATTCGGTAAGGCTACAACACCAATACCACCTTGTGTAGGCGTTTGTATGAAAACCGAATTGGGGTCATTCATATTATTACCAATTGCATCAGAATCTGAAGGATTTGTTGGTGTAACTACAGCGATTGGTTCATATATAGATTGATGTGGTGATTCATCCTCATCCTTGAAACTACCGCTTAAATTCGGATTTAAAATGTTATTCGAAGAGTGTGACGCTGTATCATATGTGGCAGGTATTGTAAAAGAATTTGTAGATGCGACATCGGCCACAACTTCCTCCAGATACGGTGGCGCTGCTACACTGATTGGATGCACACGACGAAACAAACTAGAAATGTTTGAATAGCAAATTAATATTTTTAGATATATAAATATATGTATATATAAAAATATTGTGAATGTATATTTAATATTTAAAAGTAAGTAAATTTTATAAATTGTACCCATTATATATAGTCCGAAATAGGTTTGGCCTGCCGTTCAATTCTTCAGCTGTTTGGGATGTTTGTTGAACAATATTATTTGGTGTACGATCAAATGGATTAACCCGACGTGAATTATGTGAGGGTGACTGATGTGCTAATAATACTAAATTTCCAAAATCTAAATAATTCAAAATACAAGATATAAATCACAAATTTGTTACCATTTTCTTCATCAGAGGTTACATCACCGGCACCTAATGCAGTGCTGACAGTTGTATTACTACTCTCACGCGTAAATGTACCATGGCGTGTTGTTGGTATAACTTCTGTTGCCGTTCTAACAGTCGATGTGTTACCACTTGGTTGTAATAGTGGAGTTGTGTCATCATCTGTATCCGATACACTATCCAATGAAGACTGTCGATTCCGATTTGATCTCGCCGTGCCTTTCGTAAAAACCTTTCGCTTACATATGGGACAAACGCGACGATTTTCTGTTAACCAAGGGTCAATGCAATGACTATGATATGCTGAAATAAAGAAATTTTAATTTATAAAACTTTTTAAAAACGATTGAATTATTAAAATGAATTTTGAAAAAAGAAAACCTAAAACTAACCCTACATTCTTATGTAAATTCTTAAACCAATCAGATCAAAATGTTTCGACTGTTACATTTAAATGTACTCTTGATCTGTCGAATTTAGTTACTCAATCTATCGTTTTTAGAGTAATATAATATTTGTGTAGTTTTATAAGTGGACATTTTTATTATTCATATATACATATGTGTGACCGAAAGAAGGTGATTCGCTTTTTAACCACCATATTCAACCTAATTCTTCACGATGCTATTAAGTCGCTAGTGGTAACAGGGAACATATTCAACAAAACATTGCTGACCATTGTCTACGCAGAAAACATAGAGATCTTAACCAGGTTACTACACTATATGAAAGAAACGTTTGTCGATTTACAACCCAGAGATAAAGTACTATGGCTAAACATTAACGATAACTAAACAAAATACATGTGGGTTGGAAGAAACACGCACAGCCCAATTTCAGAAACCTTTTAAGTCGGTGATTTCACTTTTGAAGAAGTTGAAAGCGCTAAATACCTTCGTCGGCGCACGAACGCAGAGCTACTACAACTTTGAAGATGCTGTAAAATTCGCAAAGTTGCAGCGATGAGATGGATCCTGCACGTCATGAGAATTCCGGATGATAGACCAGAAAAGCGTATACTCCTTTTCACGCCGTACAACGACGGCAGAAGAGGTAGACCAAGTATTAGATGGCTCGA